CCAGCTCGCCCCCGGCCGCCCCGCCCCGCGCCGCCGCCCCCCACCCCCAGGCCGAGCCCGAGGGAGGGACCAAGAAGGGAGGGAGGCGGGAGGGGGCCGCGAGAGGGGCTGGCCGACCCAGACCGAGGGAGACCCGGCGGAGCGCACGCCCAGGAAGGAGAGAGCCGCAGAGCTCGGAGACGAGACCCCCAGAGCTGGGAGCAGAGGGATCGAGAGAGAGGTGAGAAAGGGACCGGAGCGAGACAGTGAGGACCAAACCAGATGCGAGACAGAGAGGTGACGGTGCCAGGACGCCGAGATGTTCGCGGAGAGACCGCCAGAGGCACGGGAGCCAGCGGGCCGCGAGGTGCCGTGCCAGAGGGCACAGAGGCAGGCAAGCAGAGAGAGGGGACAGCCAGGAAGGCGAGCGGCCTAGGCCGGAGTTAGGGAGCCCCGAAGAGGTGAGGAGGGGGAGAGGCAGAGGAAAGGGGTGGCGTGCGCAGCCTCCGGGCCAGGGCGCAAGGCCCACACGGGCAGGGGTGCAGCTCAGAGAGCAGTGGCCACACCTGTGCACTCACTCCCACCTCAGTTTACCAGGCACGGCCTCGTTTCTCCCGAGTTGCCCTGGGAGAAAATGTTCTCCGGCCGGGATTTGCTACTATTGCCAAGTGATACGTGGACACATCCTCCTTGGCAATCGCGGAGGCTGTGGGGTGGGTTGTCTCTCTAGTTAGGGGAAGAGATGGATGACAAGAGAAGGAAATGCTGGGGCTTCGCAGCATCAGAGAAAACCTGTACTGGGCGGAGCTGGGCAAGGGGCCACAGGGTGCCCTAGGAGTCTGGGGCCAAACTCTGGCGTGACCTGGCTCCTCTCTGAGCCTTAAAGGCCCCCATGTGATTGAGGAAGGCCTGAGCCTTTGCCAGATCCTTCTCTTCATCGTTGAGGCCGTGGGGTGAACAGTCCCAAACCTCAACTCTCGGCTGTCTCTCCCTGCCCAGCTACTGCCCCTTTCTGGACTTCCATCTCTGACCCATCCCTAGGAGATGCGGACACTTGGTCCGGGGAAGTGAGGACTGAGTGGGGGTCCTGCCCCCACCCCCCTGCAGGGTCTGTAGGGGAGGGGCACAGGGTTCATCCAGGCAAGGAGGGGGAGTGACCAGGGAGGTGGATGGGTGTCCCCAGGAGGCTGCGGAGGGTGGCTGCTCCACCCCTCAGGTGTCCCCTAGCTGGGGTCCTGGACCACTTCTTCCTGTGAGAGCTCTGCCCCGGGGCCTCAGTGGTCAGATCTGGGAAACAAGGCCAACCACACCCACGGCCCTGCCCTGCCTCAGGTCGCTGCAGTTTCTCTAGATCCAGCTGCTGGCAGTGAGGCATGGAGGCCCTCTAGGCCCTGGCACCTGCCCCAGAGCTGGTGCAGACTAGGAGATGGCCCAGACTCTGTCCACAGGGACCGGGAGAATGTTTTACCGGAGGCTCTGGCAAGACCCTGGCCCTAAGAGCCCAGCTGCCTCTCCCCTCAGGTGTTGAGTGACTTTCTACCCCTTCTGAAGCTCCCAGCCATCATCAGACCTGAAAGGTGGCCTCCAGGTGCTCCAGGTGTGGGTGGTCCTGTGAGTGACAGGCTCTTCGGAAGGGGACAGTGTGAGACGCACTAAAGTGATAGTGTCCCACACAGAGGAGGCCTCCCTCCCAGTGAGAGGTGGAGAGATGGGTGGGTGGTGCCATGCCCCCTTGGTTGGCCCAGCAGCCACCAGGCCAACAGAGAAACGCCAGTGTCTCCTGGGGCCCTGGGCAGCCCAGCTGGGACCCCTCCAGACTTGCAGGTGAAGAAAACCCCTCCCTACATGGGTGCTTGGGTGTCACCCAGGCCAGCCACCTGCCGCCTCAGATGGGGAAACTGAGACCCAGCAAGAGGAAGGCACAGGCCCAGGGACCACAGTGAACACAGTTGGCTTTCTGTTGCTCCCTGTCCACAAGGCATGGGGCCCATCTTCTCTCACCTCCCCTCAACCCCAGTAGGGCCCACCAGCTTCCTCCTCCTCCTTGCTGCCACATCTTCCCAAGGGCACAGCCTGGGGTGGTTTCCTTGGCGGGTGTGGCCCAGCTCCCGGCACACCATCCCTGCACTGCCTGTTTGGGGCCCTGACTAACCCACCCGCTTCAAACCATCTCTGTCTGGTGCAACTGCTGCCCTGAGGGTCTCAGGTCCTCTAGATGGGAGCTCGCCTGGATCAGAAGACTTGGGATCACACGGATCAGCCCTCACCAAACCCATTTTGCCCCCAGTCTGCCCTGGGGGATAGGAGGTCGTTTCAGGATGGAGGGCTCACCTCTAGGTTTGGGGGAGTCAGTAGACTGGCGCAGTTCAGCCCCCACCCCACTTCACAGGTGCTGAGGCAGCAGAGTGCCCCCCAGCTCCGTGGACACCCGCCGGGGCTGTCTCCCGACGCCTGAGCGCTGTCGGCCGCGGGAAGGAGGCCCCGGGCTCTTTGGGGAATGCCCTGCGCCGCGGGAGTATTCCGATGCTTTGGCTGGCCCGAAGGGCCCAGAAAGCCTGACCCCTGCCCTGTCACCCCCCAAGGCCCTCTCCTTGGTGGGTAGGCCTCTGATCTCCCCCCTGCGGGCGCGGTCTCCCCGGGGCGCGATCCCAAAGCAGATGTGCAGATAAACCCCTTTTAGGCGAAAAAATGCGCACAGACAGCGGCGGGGCCTCCTCTGTCGGGAAATGCGGCGTCGTTGGCCGGCAAAGGGTCCCCAAAGAGTGGGTTCCTCCTCCCCGTCGGGAACGGAGGCCCGGGGAGGGGAAGCGCCCTGGGCGGAGGGGCGTCCCGGC